TATTATAAAGAGGTTAATATCTGTCCTGTAATGTGTTTCATAGAAGAACTACCTATATGTGGGAAACAATCAGGTAGTCCTCAGCAGCTGTGGGAATGTAGAGGGTTAGATGAGTGTATCTTCATTTAGTGTTCTCTGACAATCCTTACAACTGTCTTATGTCTTTTTTCAAAGTCTTGTTTGAAGCGTGTGTAAAACCAAAACCTTTTTGTTAGTTTTGGATAGAGCAGGGCCAGGTAATTTTTCTCTCCCGTTCATTGAAGGACACAGGGAACAGATCGGAGATCATGTACTGTAGGGTAATATCGCCACCTGCAGGAGAAGGACGCTAGGCACAAAACTAAAGACCAAATACAGCCTAGGGGCGGCCCCTGCCGGTGGCCAAACCCCCCACCTGCTGACAAGTCTCTTGCCTAGCGTCAGGAGTGAGGAGCTAAGAATTTTTTCTCGGGTATTCTTACCTGCTTCTTCCTGATCTTTTTCAGTGGAATCTTCTAGCAAGTGTTGTCCGGGCGACAGGCTGGATGTCTCGGATCCTTGGAGTCTCCCCGGGACGACCGACGATCGCATGCAGGCCCGCTGCGGTGGGTCGGCTGCGACGGTCCCGCTCCGGCGGGATGGCCTATGGGTTCGTCCCAGGGGGGTGCATATGACTGAGGGTCTCGGCCGCCCAGTCACAGTACTCCCCACAGGCTTCTGGCGCCGCGACTGCGGTCGGGGGCGCCAGTCTTCCGCAGTACCTGTGCACCTGGTCTTCAATGTTCCCTGTGCAGCTGCTCGACATGGATGCTGCGTATGGCCCACGTTCCCCGGCGGTATGTATGGCGCTGCGTGGGCCCGTGATGGGGGGGTCGGTGGGGGTCCGTTGTCTGCTGGTCTCCCTTTGGGCTTCCTGGCCTCCACTTCAGGGACATCTCCCGTGCCCCCCCTTTGCACGGCCTGTACTTCTGCGCCCCTTTCCCAGTCTCCCTTGGTGCCTGTGGGGTCCTTGGGTGGGGGGTCCGCTGGCGCTATGTTGTCTTTGGAGGCTTTTTCCTCCACTATGGACAGTTTTTTGTGTCCCGGATGGAGCGCGCACTGACGCAGCGCCCTCCACGGAAGCGCGCTTTGCCGGCCCCCTCCCCGGTCCTTTCTGGGGATTCTGAGGAAGAGGGGGAAATTTCGGCTGCGGCCGCGCAGCACGACCTGGGGGATTCATTCCAGGCGGAGTCTGCTAGTGACGAAGAGTCGGGGACTGCCCTTATGGTCCAGGAGCGCGAATTGGTCGCGGCCTTGGTTCGCGCTGTGCGGGAAACGCTTAAAATTGAGGAGACTCCGAGCTCTTCGGCGTTCCCGCCGGTTCCTTTTGGGACGCACAGGAGTAGGCGTTCCACTAAGGTTTTCCCTAGGTTTGCCTACGAGCAAGTCGTTTTCCGTCCCAAAACGCTTCTTGGTTCGTTATCCTTTTGAGGAGTCCTTCCTGTCCAAGTGGTCTACTCCCCTCGCGGTGGATCCGCCGGTTTCCCGCCTGAACAAGGCTACGGTCATCCCGGTGGAGCATTCGCCTTCCTTTCGGGATCCCACGGATAGGAAGGCGGAGGC